TTACAAAATTTATAGATAGTAGAAAGAGGCCATTTACATATGGCCTTTCTGGCTAGTTTGGTATAGCCCCCGGATCCGGGTACAATCCCAACCGGTGTGGCAGACCGCCTCTGAGTACTCAAAGAAGTAGCTGGAGGATGTCGGACCAATATCTTAAGTTAAAAATGTATGTAATTTATATACAAGAATCTTAATAAAGGTTTACGGCAAGGCTCCCAAAGGAAAAAAAAAAAAAAAAAATATTTTTTATTTTTTATGTTTTAATATACTATATATATTTTCAACTAATATAACTATTCTATTGGTTATTTAAGTTTTGTTTGTTAGTTTATTTTTGTGTTATTTCTATATTTTGTTTTTACTTATTTTGAAATTAAAGATTAGCAGAAAGAGTTAATAACTACTATTCAAATTATATAAAATATGTTAAAAGCTTTTATTTAATAATAACTTGTTAAATAATTAATTTAGTAAAATTTATTAAATTGTAAAATAATTTACTAATTTTTAAATATTAAATTTGCTTACAATTTAAATTTTAAATATTTAAAACATTTTAAATTATATAAAAATATTTTAAAAAATTTATTATTTTTAATTTTTTTTTAACTTTAATAGTCATATTAGGACTTTATTTTTTTTTATTTTTTTTTATTTTATTCTTTGACTAGTCCTGCTGAGATCTTTTACATTTTTTCGCATTTTTTTGAACTAATGTTTTTAATATACTTCCAGAACTGAATCTCGACCTTTTCCGGTCTGTACTTTTTAACTTTCCAAGAATGATCGTCACACTGATCCCTGCCGGTATCAGAAGGTTTCACCAGGCTCTATTCAGAACTGACTGTCGTCATGAGTTCATATAGTATCTCTCATTGTTAGACTTCTGGCCTTACATTACATCTCATAACTTCAGTTATTCTAAATCGGGTTCTAACTCATGTTCATCACTAAGTGTCTTCTTAATCACAGGTTACTTGCCTTTTCTAGAAATAAGTCCATCTGATGATGTCCCGGGTTCCTGATGCTGCGGTGTTGCAGTTTCCTATTTTTAAAAATACATCTCTACAATTGCCATCACTAGGATTTGAACTGGCAATCTTGCGATTTGTGACCTCGGAGCATAACCACTATGCTATCGACCCTAGAGGTCATTAGTACTTTATTAAAATTCTTAAAACTATATAAATTATATAGAATTTCCTAATATACAAGTTTAGTATTACTTAGTCATCTAGATTAGAGACCTTCATTGGGTCCTGCAGCCTGGCCCAACCCACAAAAATTTGTAGGCCAGACCAGGCCTGAAACAAAATTTTATAATTGCGAACCAGGTTGGGCTAAAAAATTTGTAAAACTTTATAATTGCAGGCTAGTGCAGGCCTAAAAATTTATAAAATTATATAAAAAATTTTTGTGGATTGGGCCAGGCTAGGCCAGGCTAAAAAAAAATTTAATATATGTGGGTCAGGCTGGACTAGCAAAAAAATGATAATTCTAAATATGAACTGGGTCTAAAAAAAATTTTTAACCCTAACTGCAAGCCAGACTGGGCCTCAAAAATAAGCAATTTGCAGGCCTCTAATCTAGATAATATCTAAATATGATATGTTATACTATTATAGTTAAAGATAAACTATTTATTTAATTGCTATTCTATAATATAATATTACTAATTTAATAACATCTTTTTATAAAAAAGCAAAAACAAAAAAAAATTTTTTTATATAAAAACCAAAACAGTGGTATAAAGTTAAATAATAAAAGATACAAGATACAAATCAAGAATAAAAAAGAAAATAAGATAAATAAGAAAAAAAACTTAGAATTACAAATATCAAACAGTTATAATTATAAATTTGTATTAAGCTTCTTAAAAATTAAAAATTATTCTAAATAAAAATAACTCTATTATTTTTCTATTTATTTAGATTATTTAACAAAAAAACTTTATATAAAAAAAAACTTAAACTTGGTTATAAAAAGTTGATATAGGGCATTAATTAGTTCAGAAACAATATTAGCAGATTTTTAATAACTCAAAACATATATATAGTTATATTAATATTACTGTATTATTTCTAATCTGTGTTGTTAACAAATCTGTTTGGAAAGTAAACACTATTGACTATTTTAATAATTTTATATATTGATCTTTAGAAGAAAATAAACTAAATTATCTACTTTTTAAAAAATTTTTCTTAAAAAAAAGTAAAAATAAGAGATAAACTAACTTTGTAACTTTTATGAAGTTTTAATCTTTTTAGATGTTTTTTATAAGTTTTATAGTTGTATAGAACTAATATATTTAACTTTGTTATTTACTTGATAAAAAATTTTAACTTTTACTGATTATTCCTTCTATAGTTTTAAATTGTTTTTATACTATTATTATAAAGCTGCAACTTCTTTTTTAACTTTATTTTAATGTCTAACTATATATATATAGTATTTCAAAAAAGTTTTTATAAAGTTTAATATATTAACTATATTATTTTGCTATAGTTTAGCTTTTTAAAAAATTTGGTTCAAATGATCATTAGAAAGAATTATTATGTTAGTCTTAATTTAAAGAATATAATATATTATTATTAATTTATTAAAATTGTCAAATAAATTTTAATATAACTAATTTGTAAAAATATTTTTATTATATTGCATAGTATTATAAATAGTTTAGATACTTTTTATTTCTTTTAATTATTTTTTTTATGAATACTAAACTAATTATAAAAATACTCTAATTTTTAATTTTAAAAATAATATTTTAAATTTATATATTTATAAGATTTTATAAAAATTATTAATTATTTAAAAAATATATATTTATATTTAAAATAATATATAATATTTTGTTTTTTTTATATTATTCAATAAAATTTAGTTTTAAATTTTACAAATATATTTTTAAAATTGGACTTAATTAGGCGTCGCAACCCTGCGATGTGCTTATACATCGCATATTAATGATCGACCAATCAAATTCCAATATCAGGTGTAACGTAGCGCGATCAAGAAAACATTCGTTTTGACAAAAGTCACACTTATAACTCAAAATTTCACATTAACTATCTTTTGCACTCTAACAAAAAAAAATTTCTTGAAAATTTTTACTATAAATCATGTTCCGTTTATTGCTACATAACCCTAACCCTAACTAAACAAAAAACTAGTTTATTTTGGTTGTTAAATTATAATTTGTAATATATGCGATGTATAAGCACATCGCAGTATGCGACGTATACATTTATCCTTTAAAATTTATTTATTTTCTAGAATTATTAAGATTATATTAGGTTTAATAATCTAAATATAAACAAATTTAACCTTAACTAGATTTAAATAATTAGAAATGAATTTAAATAAATTTATTTTATAAATTATATTTTATTTGTGAAATAATTTAAATATTTTAATATAACTTTATTATTCTAAAATTTATTCAAAATATTTCAAAATCTTTTAAACTATTTTGCATCTATAATTTTGCTAATGTACACTACCTGGCTCCTAAAATCTGCAAAAATCAACAATTAGTATATCTAAATCAAATTTGGATTGTTTTGGTTACACAACCTTTAATTATTGTTTACTAGATAAAGACAATTTTAATAACGCGTTATGTTTATGTTCAGCTTATCAATTTTTTTGTAAAAATTTAACGTAATAATAATTCAGTCTTTCTCTCATTTATGTTCAACAGATTCATGAATATTTCATTCGTGTATCTTTCAAATGGAGAATTTTAGACTTCTTAAATGAATGTGATGCAGAATAGTTCAATCAGAAGATAGGGCTATATCTTAGATCCCTGGAAAAAATCGCCAATAAAGAAAAAGGCGAAAGACAACAAAAAGCAACTATCCTGCTAGAAAAATATAGAAAGGCAAGTTTAAAATCTTTAAGAATTTGGTGGTGTGACAAAGATCTAGAAGGTTTCTGTCATTCAAGCCTAGAAGGTGAACCACAAAACTAATATTAGGGCCCAGGTGATCTAGAAGGTTGTCTGGCATTCAAGGCTAGAAGCTGACCTAACATTGGCCTCACAGGACACAGACAATATAAAAGTTGGCTGAGTTCAAAGCTAAAAGCTAATCCTGTGAGATGAATGTTTTTTTTTTTTTTAGGGTGCTCGGCCTGATTATAATTCGGCGAGAAGATGGAAAAATAAGTATGGATCAACTAGAACTTCAATTCACCTTCATGGTTCAATGTTTATAGTGGGAAATTCTGAAAACGTTAATGGTAGAAATTTTAATTTATCCGAAAAAAGTGCGCCAAAAAGAAAAAAAATGATAATCATGGAATGGTATATATACATGGTTTTTTTTGACAAGATATTGAGAATCAGTAGGGCTAATTATTTTATATTAATACTTTAGGATGAACATATCAAGCAAAACTATCCTAAAAAACGAACAAGGATTGAAGAATATTTTTCTGTGCATGACGTCGTTTCTCAGTTTTCGAATGATTTATCTGATGTACTATCATCCGCCATGCCAAAAGTAATGCGTAAAGAGCCAGAAGTACTTGTTTTATAAGTAGCTTAAATTATGGCAAAATTTATTGTATCAATCCAATTAATTTTTCATTGATATTATCCTTATAGAAACGAAAAAGATAAAATAAATAATTTTAATCAAGAGGTTTTTCCTGTGCGTGACGTCATTTCTCAGCTTTCGAATGATTTATCTGATGTACTACCATCCGCAGTGCCAACAGTAATGCAAAAAAAAATTAGTACTTGTTTTATAAGTAAGGCCACGCCAAGTTAAAACTACTGTATGTTTAACATAACCTCCTCTTTTTGAGCCTCAGATATAGAGGATGAATAACATCACCAAATATAAAAATTTTTTTTTAGCCAATGTTTTTTTTTTTTTTACCCCTGTTTAGACTTGTCAATCATTTCATTAACGTTATGTTAAACATAAAATCAACTTGGAATGGCCTAACTTATATTATGGCAAAATTTAATGTATTAATCTTATTAATTTTCATTGATATTAGCCTTGTGAAAACGAAGAAGATAACATAAATGATTTTGATCAAGAGGTTGTATGTAGCGGTAACAGTCTTTATGTCGAAAACATACGCGTACGATCAAAAATAATGGAGTGGCGCAAAAAATCCAAGTATATTCCAGAAATTCACAAGCAATAGTATACCTTTCGATAAATAGTTGCATTATTATTTTTTTACTTATCGATAACTAGCTTCATTTTACAGTTTGCTTCGTTATAATATAATTGATACTATCGAATCATCATCAACAAATTCGCGAAATCTTTTCAAAGATATTTGGGACAAAATGGTTGATGAAATCGAAGCCATGTTGCTACCGACTGCAGAGCCGACAATTTCAAGTAATGTGAAAGATGGGCAAGTCGAAGAAGTAAAAACTTACGTCAAAACTGTTGTGGCGAATGTGGTAAGTAAATGGAGTTTTTGCCTTGAAAATCAAGTTATGGGACATATGATTTACTATGTCTCATAACTTGATTTCTAAGCAAAGACCCTAAATGTTATTTAAAATATTAAATATAATTTATTGAACCGAGTGTTTTTTTTATAAATAGAATTCTTATGATAAACTACGTAAGGCATTAAAGTCTGGACGTTCTAATTTGAGAACTGGCAGTAATGAACAATGGAAGCGAAGAATCTTGACAATTGCAAAAGCTTTGTACGTGGGTTTTGTGATATCCTTAATATCATCAACACGTACTAATAATTAATTATATTGCTTTCATAGTCGCGATCAGTTTCAAAATTGCAAGAATGCTTTTAATGATGATCAAACTGAATACCATTACATAATAACTTTTATATATCAGATTTTTAAACCTTTATTCAAAAATTTTCAACATATAGGTTTGACTTGGTAAGTTTTGACTTAATTAAATTAATATTTATTGCTTGATAATCGCTTGTTTTAACGTATTGTAATAGGGGTGAAAAATCATTGCGGTGTTCAGCAATATTATTCAATAATTCGCAACAAGACAGTGGCCGACGTAATCCTGGATGTAAAATTGACGCTATCATGAAGTTATTGGAAGTGAACCTTGAGGTTTCAGTTGTGGAAGTTTCTGGGTCTCCAAAAGATCCTGATCACAACCACTACATTGGTGATCGTAACAAGATCGCAAAATCTTTGAAAATTATTTTAAATTTTATTAGAATGAATCACCGTGGAGATTTTCAACGATTTCGCAAAATAAAATTTTATGGAATACACAATAAGTTATATTTAGAATTAGGGGAATTGTTTGTATACATCAGTTTCGTGTAACCACACGTACATCGATTTTTTATTGGTCGATTAATAAAAGCTTTGATGTCTTGATATTACACGAAATTGATGTACCTTAGAGTTATTGATATATGGCTCTTAACTCACTTGTCTTGTTATCTATAGACAACTCTTTTTATATTTACAGCTTGTCAATACCATTTTCCGGTGTATATTACTTTAAGCGAGAACTTGTTTTTGAATGTCCAACGATTACATTCCTTACATTTAGAACCTTACCAAAATCCATGTCAAATTTATGGAGAATGCGTGTAAATATTATCTATACATTAGATGCTATCATACATAGATTCTATAATTAACATTTCTGAGTGTTAGGCGATGATTTCTTCAAGCGCTGAAGCCATTATTTCATATATAGAAAATGCTGATGAATCAGATTATGATAACGAACTCGATCCGGTGACCATTTCGCCAAAGAAATATAAAAGTTGAGAAACGGGATCGTTAAAAGAATTTTATAAAATTCGTTCAAGATATAATATTATATTAACAAACATGTGGCAATTATTTCACTTAAAACATCATTAATAGATTAAAATGAAATAATGAATCATTTACATAATTATGAGTTCTAGCCTGATGGATCGTCAGCACTGTTCCTGATAGGGTTCTAAAAAAAAGAGCATTATATTAAAAAAGTTAAGGTACCCTATCAGGAACAGTACTCAAATAAATTTTTTTTTAACTTCATTAGGATCAGTACTGACGATCCATCAGGAACGGTATTTTTGCTGCCCACTTTAAAGCAATCTAATTGGTTGACTATTTGTAATACGATTACGTGACATGTCGATCTCGTGGAACCTCTGTAGCTCACCCACAAGATTTTTTCCGGCACGTGATTCACGTGATTCTAGCCAATTAGATTGAAGGAGCAGGTGTAACGTGAAAATCAAGTCTTTTTAAAAAATCACCATTAACTCGAAATTTTACCTATGAAACTGCCTTCTGCGTTCTAATAAAAAAAAAAAATTTTCATGAAATTTTAGTATAAGCTATGCCCTTCTTCATCCCTTATTTTAACCTTAAGATGATGCTTCTTACTTTAAAATCTTTCGCTTAATTCGATGGTTTTGATTTTACGTTACACCTGATCCTTCGATATAATTGGCTAAAAATCACGTACCGGAAAAAATCTTGTAGATGAGCTACTATTAATATCTCGTGGAAGTTTAGACACTTTTGCAGTAATGTGATGTGGCGCATTGTAGCACATTCAGATAAGATTTTTGTTTTTATTTTATGTTTTTTGGCTAGGGTTCGTTAGAGTGTTCAACAAACTAATTAAATCAAACATTATTTAGGGTGTATATGATAAAAATTTTTATAAAAATCTGAAATTGCTGTGGCTAATAGTAACTTTTGGTACAGTTTTCTTTCGAACATAATAATTGCTGATTTAATTTTTGAAAAAAGATATGTTAACTTATTTAGAATAATGTGACAATGACAGTTTTTTGATTTATTCTTTTTATAGGTAGTTAATTTTATAAAAAGACAATCTAAATTTACTTGAATTTTGGTAATAATAAATTTATTAAGTTTTACAAAATAAAGGTTGTTATTGGAAAGAGTGAAGTAAAAGTTACAAATTAAAAAAAAATTTGTCATAAAAATATTGTGTTCTTAACTCAAAAATTATACTTTTATAAGATGAATTAAAAAAATATTAATATAAAAATTAAAATGTCATGTTTTAAAACAATATTCAAATGACGTTAGCAATTAAAAAATGCATATAAACAACATCAATTTTCTAAGAAAATTGATAGTAGTATAAACAAGAGTGATATAAGTTCACAACCATTAAATATAGAAATTGAAACTAATGTTACAGTACTGTGGCCTTCTTAACAGCAGTACTATAACAACGACATGGCTATAGGGAACCTTTATAGGTTTATAGCAGTGTCCAAGAGGTAAGTATAATTCCTTAGTCTGTAAGAAACTATACTCTTCTCTCTGAGGCAGTTTGGTAAAACAAG